GCAAACCTGAACCAGTGCCTGGAAAAAATAAGCTCAGTAGCACTAGAAATATGTTCAAACCGCATACCCCTAAGAAAAAAAGAGAGATGCAGATTGGAACGGGAACGTCGTTCCCTATATAGGCGAAGAAAACGAATCGCGGAACAACTTGAGAGTCGCACCCTATCTCAAGAACGGCGAAGGAGGTTAGGTAGAGAAATAGAAACAATTGAACTCAAGCTACAAGAATCATACAAAACCCAGGAGAGGCAAAGAGAGCAAAAGGCCATCAGTGAAATAGAGAGAAATCCGAAATATTTTTTTCTCCTATGCAAAATAAAGATCAAAAACCACATCTAGTATCGGGCCCCTGCGAAAGGGAGATGGAACTTTCACCGATGACAACAAAGAAATGAGCGAGTTACTGAGGAAGCAGTACGACTCTTGTTTTCAGCGAGCCATTAAATGCACTAAAGATTGATAACCCAAATGAATTTTTCATGGATATGATACCAACATCAAATCATATATCAGACGTCGCCCTATCCCCACTAGATTTTGAAGAAGCCATAAACAGTATGCCTATGCACTCTGCACCAGGCCCGGATTCTTGGAACTCCATATTCATCAAGAACTGTAAAAAACCACTATCGCAGGCCCTTCACATTCTGTGGAGACAAAGCCTAGATACTGGCGTTATCCCTGACATACTAAAAACAGCAGAGATAGCACCACTCCATAAAGGAGGAAATAAGGCAGAGGCAAAAAATTACAGACCGATAGCACTAACATCGCACATCATAAAAATTTTTGAGAGAGTGCTAAGAAGCAAGATCACAAAATACATGGAATCACAGCATCTCCATAACCCCGGACAACATGGTTTCAGAACAGGGCGCTCTTGCCTGTCGCAGTTGCTGGACCACTATGATATGGCATTAGATGCTATGGAAGACAAACAAAACGCTGATGTAATTTACACAGATTTCGCAAAAGCTTTTGATAAATGTGACCATGGTGTTATTGCACATAAAATGCGTTCAAAAGGAATTACCGGGAAAATAGGCAGATGGATCTACAATTTCCTGACTAACAGAACCCAATGTGTAATAGTCAACAAAATAAAATCCAGCCCATCAACCATGAAGAGCTCAGTCCCCCAGGGTACTGTGCTTGCTCCAGTACTTTTTCTCATCCTCATATCGGACATAGACCAGAACACAACCCATAGCACTGTATCATCCTTTGCAGATGACACTAGGATTTTCATGAGAGTTGGCAACATAGAGGACACGGCAAACCTCCAGTCAGATGTAGATCAGGTCTTTCTATGGGCTACAGAAAATAATATGGTGTTTAACGAGGATAAGTTCCAGCTCATGCGCTACGGAAAAATTGAAAATATAAAAACAGAAACTACGTACAAAACTCAGGCAAATCATAACATAGAACGAAAAGGCAATGTAAAGGGTCTGGGTGTACTCATGTCGGAAGACCTTACCTTTAAAGAACACAATAAAGTAGCCGTCACAACTGCAAGAAAAATGACAGGTTGGATAACAAGAACTTTTCACACTAGAGATGCTATACCGATGATGATACTTTTCAAAACACTTGTGCTCTCTAGAGTGGAGTACTGCTGCACAATGACAGCCCCTTTCAAAGCTGGAGAAATTGCTGACCTGGAGAGCGTGCAGAGATCCTTTACTGCTAGAATCCACTCAGTAAAACATCTAAATTACTGGGACCGACTAAAGAGCCTAAATCTGTACTCCCTTGAGCGCAGGCGGGAGAGATACATAATAATTTACACGTGGAAAATAATTGAGGGGCTGGTCCCAAACCTGCACACAGAAATAACACCACATGAGACCAGAAGACATGGCAGGATGTGCAGAATACCCCCGTTGAAAAGCAGAGGTGCAACAGGTACTCTGAGAGAGAACTCTATCAACATCAGAGGCCCGAGACTGTTCAACACGCTTCCACTACACATAAGGGGCATAACTGGCAAACCCCTCACAGTGTTCAAGAGAGAACTGGATAAGCACCTCCAAAGGATACCTGATCAACCAGGCTGTGACTCATACGTCAGGCTGCGAGCAGCCGCGTCTAACAGCCTGGTTGATCAGTCCAGCAACCAGGAGGCCTGGTCGACGACCGGGCCGCGGGGACACTAAGCCCCGGAAGCACCTCAAGGTAAGGTAGGGGAGGAGGATGACTTGGAGGGCCTTGGGTCCCATTGGACCCCACCTGGGTCTTTTCTACCCTGTGAGTTGGGCTTACTGATACAAGGAGTGGGGCCTCCCCCCTCCTTTTGTGTGTGAATTGGATTTGGTGTCTGCCCCTCCCCGGTTTCGGTTCCGTGTCCCTTTGGTCCCGTCTTTCCGGAGGTTTTCGGCTTCCTGCATCCCGCCTCCTGTGGTGCGGGAGGCCTTTGCGGCTAACTTCCTGCATGGCCCAGATTATGCCTCTATTATGGATTCGTCTACGTTCTGGTTTGGGTCTTCGTTTCCCCTGCTCGATTTGTTACGAGGTTCCGGAGTAGTCTTGGCTGGCTGACTGTCCTGTTTTTGCTTTGGAGGCTTGGCATACTTTGTTGTTCCCGGACGCTTGAATGGCTCAAGTCGAAGGTGGTCCAGGTTTTCTTGGGGGTGAGTTTGAGCATCTCAATGAGTGCTTGTTCGCTCCTGCCTTTCCTCGGGATGTAAGCATCCTGTAGCTTCACGTGCAGGTTCCCTCCCTTTTTGCTGTGCTGGTTGTTGAGGACTTGCATGCTCGTGGTCTGCTGGCTTCGGCCTTGTGTTTCTATTCCCTCCTGGAGCTGTCTGCAGACTGGCTTGAGTAGGATGTGGAGGCGCTTGGGGCCATTCCTGGGTCTAGCGCCTAGGGCTCGGTGGCACGTGTGTCGTCTGCCTTGTTAAAGCTGTTTGCACTGATCCTGTGGGATGCGGTGTCACTGTTTTATGCCTCCCAGCTCACGTGTCGGCAGGTGGTGCTTGCTTCCTCCTTGGAATCTGCTTGAGCTCTGGATCTTAGAATGTCTTCGCCTTTTTGTCCCTTGCTGTTTGCTGATTCTGCGGTGGTGCAGTATCTGCAGGCGGCTTCGGCTAACTGTCGTCTGATGTCTGACTTGAGGGGAGGCAGTGAGGAGAGAGGCAGAAGGGAACTTTGAGAAAAGGATAGCAGACAAATGTAAAATAAGCTTTGGAGTGTTAATTATTCAACTTCATTCTCGAGTGAAAAACAGAAGATTTGCGCTAGAATCATTGATCTTGCCTTTTCTGTCATATTCAATAGTAATGTAATGCTAATGATTGAAGGTACAGTAAATAATTATTTAATGAATATTTATTAGTAAATGATTTGAGATTGTGAAGAGAGACATGGGGAGATAAAAGCATTAACAGACGGCATGCTGTTGTGCATAATGGTTTTTAACACTTTCGCCCGGGCATGACGCAGCATTGCGTCATCCGTTGACTGTCGGTAATTCCGGGGATGACGCAGCATTGCGTCATCCACTTTAAATAATCGCCAAAAATCAGGTTTTTATCCGATTTTTTGGGGACTGGTTTTAAAATGCGCGCCGATGTCTTCCCATTTTCTTTGTTGAGCCTCGTGGCCCTCAGGTGGCTTGGCACATGCCGTGGGCCCATTGTTTTCGCTCCACTGTTGTGACCAATGTCGCCTCCCCTCGCATCTCAAACGTGTGAACATATCGGCTATTTTCCGTGGCTATATTTCTTACTGCGGCTTTAGAAACTATCTACGCTTACTCCACAATGGATAGTGATCATGAACAAGGCCCTTCCAGGAAGAAAATTGCGAAAGAAAGGCTTGAAAAGGGCGGGAATTGGGAGTGTAGGTGGAAGGTGGCTGAGAACTCACTCGCGGCTAATGCGTGGCCCGTCTTCAACTCGTCGGCGGTTGGAGCGTGACTAGGTTTTTTATTTTATATGCTAATGTTCCTCTAGAGAATTCTATTGCGAACCCATTGAGACAAAAATGAAAGACCTAGGATAAAAATTGAGGTGACCAGAGTGAACATAGTGAAAACATTTTATCGCGTTTGCACGCTCCTAGGTAACTCGTTCGCACTTTCTCTGTTTGCTGCGGGTAATTAGCTGGGCTTTTGGAGTTTATATGCATTTAGTGCTGTAGAGAATTCAATTGCGAACACAATGATACCAAATTTAATCTCGTAGGACGAGAATTAAGGTGACAAAGTTGAAGAGAGTATACACTTTTCAGAATTTACACACGCTCCCATGACACCCTGGGTCCCATATCGCACAGTTGAGGGGTGGCGAGCGGGGTGCACCAAAGTGTTAAGCTTGAAGGCAAGATGAATTATTCAGTGTTGTTCAAGATGAACAATATTTGGTATACTGTACTGTACTCTTATAGACAGACATGGGTATAAATATTAATTTTTAGAGACCATGGTGTACTTGGTGCTTTTGGGAAGTATTGCAGCTTTATATTTATAGGAATGTTTGTGAAAGTTAAATATATTAAGTTTAATATAACAAATGATTGTGTTGCACTAATGTGGAGTGTCCAGTGGTAAGTTACCATAGCTTGTATTAATCTAGTGTGACAATACAAATTTGTGCATTTTTTCTAAACCAGCACATCAAACATAATCTGGGTGTGTTGTAAAATCATTTGTTCCTTAAAGCATGATTCTGTAATGTGGTGTGTTAATTTCCTCTTTATTACACAAAATTTATGCTATTTGACCTGACATTGTTATATATAGAGTATTAATATCATATTAAGTGTTGGCTTGCTCTTATATATTCAGGTCATGTTAAATATTTAAACTGGCACTAACTCTCTTTCTCTCAAACATTTTTCACATAAATATGTTACTTTCAACCAGGCCAGTATAGATTTTCCATTTTAAGGCGAGTGATGATAAGCCGAAGAAGTGTTGATGACTGGCAGACGTACATCTGGGCCGTCACTGGGGTGTTCTCTTACCGAGTGTTAAGGTCTCCCTCATTATACTGCAGGTTTATCACAAGAAAGAAAAAGGGCTGAGCAGGTTCTGTGATGAGGAGTTTGAGGACCATCAGCCCTTTCCCACATTGCAACGTGCTCTAGAGAGTGTGCCATATACTTGTGGGTTTAATGTGGAGGTCAAATGGACGATGCTACTGAGGGACGGCACATACGAGCTCCAGCATCCCTTTGAACTGAACCACTTCATGGACCTCATTATCAAGGTATTGTAATATTCAAGAGTTAGAATGTTGTTACATTAATATATGGAAAGTGACAAGATAGTAGTGTACTGTACTTTATGATTACAGTAGTTGTTTTAATTGTATGTATTTAACAAATTATCCTTGTGTATATTGTCATGTGTGTGTATATGTATTCCAATTTTGGTTCCACAAAAGTTGTGAACAATTTCTTTTATAGTTCACTATCCATGTACAGTATTAAACCCTTAGACAATGGCTATGGAGAAATGGTCATACTTGTCTATGGAAAAAAAAATCACTATAGAATTATTAATTTGTATGCAAAATATAAAAAAATACAAAACTAAGTGACTACAGTGGTACTTCGAATAACAAAGTTAATCCGTTCCGGCACCGTGCTCATCATGTGAAATGCTCGTCTTTCAAAACGAATTTCCCCATTTAAAATATTGTAAATAAAAATAATCCGTTCCACCACCAAAAAACATCAATATGATATTTGATTTGTTAAATAATGGAGCAGCCTACCTGACATACACTGAACGAAACTTTGACATTTGTTTTTTTCAAATTTGTTCAATTTCTTTTTTCCCATTTTTTTTAATAGCAAAAGTTTTGTTCCGTGTTTGTCAGGTAGGATGCTCCATTATGACAATTTTTCTTTGTTTCAAATGTGTTCAATTTGTTTTGTATTTTTCATTTATTTATTAACACTTTGGCGTGCCCCGCGTGCCACCCCTCAACTGTGCGATTTGGGTCCCAGCGTTTCACGGGATTACCGACAGTAAACGGATGACGCAATGCTGCGTCATGCCCGGGCGAAAGTGTTAATAATGGAGCAGCCTACCTGACACTGAACGAACCTTTATGACATTTGTCCGTTTTTCCAAATTTGTTCAATTTATTTATTTTTTTGTTTTTTTAAGAAACATATGGCAGCCTACCTGGCAAACACCGAACGAACCTTTTGACATTTGTTCTTTTTTCAAATTTGTTCATTTTATTTTTATTCTACAAAAAAAGTCAATGCTTTGCAACATCACAAACTTGTTTCAACTTGTTTCTTGTTAATCAAACAAGCGCTCGCCAATTGAAACAAATTGTCGGCGATCGGCGCGCTCATTATTCAAAATACTCATAAATTGAGGCGCTCGTCTCTCAAGGTTTCTCTGTATTTATAGTTTCACTGGGTTGAGGCGCTCTGTAAGTCTGCATCTGGCACTTGTCAAGGCCTGGTGCTCCACTTTGCTGATTCTGATTTATTCTCTGATGTTTCACCGGTTGTTTTATCACTTTACTTTACTACCATCCACACAGAGCTTTTATATCCATATTTGTATCGCACTTGTAAAACCCAGACAATAATTGTTAAAATCATCATATGATGATGACCACATTCTCCTAGTAACATTCATGAAGATAACCGCATTTGTATCACGAAATGGTAGCAGGACTTTTTCATAGGTCAAGGTAAATGCCATTGCATCCACATATGTACCAATGATTGTTGGAATTGAGGGACTTCAATATGAAAGCAATAGATTGGGAGGCCTACGAAGCAAGAACGGAGGACATTTGGACAGGTAGATTTGTAAACCTCATTTGGGTGACATTCGTGTATCAACACGTCACACAGGCCACAAGCAGGTTGAGCCAGAGCTCAACCCCTGCAAGAACAACTAGGTGAGTACAAGAATAAGGAAAGGGAATGTTCTATCAGTACTGAATCTAATATTCACCAGTAAAGAAGAGATATTTGACATCCAGTACCTTCCTTCCTTGAGAATGAGTGATCGTTTCCTGTTGGAAATTAAATATACTTTGTGATATAATCTAGAAGAGATTGGGGACATTGAAACAGTTGATAAAATCGATCGAGAGGACACTATGGGGAACTTAGTAAATACTATAACGAGTTTAATTGGGTAAACTTGTGCCTTAGTTGCTAGGCAAGGAAGTAAATGGGATGTGTGCCAAATTTTGTGAAATATTCAATGAAAGCACACAAACATTCATACCAAAACAGAGATGCAGGACCAGAAAACAGGATTGCTTCAACAGAAATTGTGAGGGTGCCAGAGAGGAAAAGACAAGAAAGTGGTTCAATATCGGATAAGGCCTAACCTGCAAACATACCAGCATTACAAACAAGCAAGAAACGGTTACATAACAGTTAGAAGAGAGGCAGAGAGGAGCTTTGAGAAAGGTATAGCGGACAAATGTAAAACGGATCCAGGCCTTTTCTATAAATTCATTAAAAACAAGCTGCATTTACAGGATAAAACCTAGATATTGAGAACGGGAGCAGAACTACTTAGGATGAAAAAGAAATGTGACATGCTAAATGAACAGTTCTAAAGTGTGTTCGTACAAAATGAGGATTTCAGAGAGCTAGACAAAATACCAATTCCAGAGCACGCCATAAAATACATAGAAGTGTCTCAAGACGAAGTGGAAAAATTACTCATGGGGCTAGAAAGAAATAAAGCGATTGGACCTGATGGAGTTTCACTTCAGGTGCTGCAAGATTGTGCATCCGAGCTGGGCATTCCACTCCAATTAATATTCCAGACATCCTTGTGCACAGGCATCTTAGCAGATATATGGAAAAAGGCAAACATAGTACCAATCTATACAAATGGTAGTCAAAAGGAACCTCTAAATTATACACCCATATCATCAAGGGTGGTAAATAAGACTAGAAAAAATAGTTAAAGCCAAATGTGTTGGACGCCTAGAGAGTAATGACATATTAATGGACAGACAGTATGGTTTTCAAACAGGAAGATCCTGTGTAACAAATCTACTTCGTTTTTATGAAAGAGCCACAGAGATACTACAGGAAAGAGGTAGTTGGGTCAACTGTGTGTATCTGGACCCAATAAAGGTTTTTGATGGTTCCACACAAGAGACTTATAGAAACTGGAACATGCTGGACAGGGGTACTTCTGACATGGATGAAATATATGTCTGACAGACAAATGAGGGCAGTAATCAGAGACAATATACTGTATCTGATTGGAAGAGTGTTACTAGTAGAGTACCACAGGGTTCTACAGTAACATATTGTCTACATAAACAATCTAACAGACGGAATACTGAATTATATGAACATGTTTGCAGATGATACTAAAATACTGGGGAAGATTGGAAACCCTAGAAAGGAGACGAAAGAGATACCAAATAATATACACATGGAAAATACTGGAGGGCCAGGTCCCAAATCTACACAGTAAAATAACAATGTACTGGAGTGAACGATATAGAAGAAAATGCAGAATAGAAAACAGTAAAAAGCAGAGGTGCCATAGGCACAGAGAACACTATAAACATCAGAGGTCCGCGGTTGTTCAAAGTCCTCCCAGCGACTATAAGAAATATTGCCGGAACAACCGTGAACATCTTCTCTTCAAGAGAAAACTAGACTGTTTTCTAAAAAAAAAAAAGTACCAGACCAACTGGGCTGTGGTAGGTATGTGGGTCTGCGGGCCACTCCAAGCCACAGCCTGGTGGACCAAACTCTCACAATTCAAGCCTGGCCTCGTGCCGGGCTTGGGGAGTAGAAGAACTCCCAGAACCCCATCAAGCAGGTATCAAGAAGGTACCCAGGCGATTGTAATGCCCTTCAAATTGATCTAAGTAAAATAAGTGCTTGAAGCATCAAGTGGCAAATGAAATTCAATGGGCATGTTATGGAATCTGAAATTGGAGAAAATAGACCACACGACTTACAAATTATGTGGAAAGTAATTACAGAATTCTAATAAAGAACGAAATCTAGAGGTGGTTTTAGACGGTAAGCCGTCACCAGAGGAAAACACAAAGAACATTGTGAGAGGAGTGTATGCATTACTTTTCAACTTCAGACTGGCTTTTAATTATATGGATGTTAAAATACACTGAAGACACTGTTCATGACTTTTGTGAGACCAAAATTGGAATATACAGCAGTTGTATGGTGCCCAAATCTCATGAAGCGCACAAACTGGAAAAGGTGCAACGGCATGCTTCAAATGGCTTCCCAATCTCTTCTCTGAAAAACAAGAGGTATGAGGAGAGACTAGACGCGTTAAACATGCCAAAACTAGTAGATAGGAGAAAAAGAGGTGGTATGATCACCCTTTACAAAATACTAACAGGAATTTACCAAATTGACAAATTCCTTGAAATCAGCAACTTAACGAACAAGAGGACACTGATTGAAGCTAAGGAACCAGGTGCTGACAAATTATTAGACAGTTCTCTTTTGCAAACAGAGTTGTAGACGGTTGGAAAAACTGAGAAGATGTGGATGCCAAACCGTCGGAAGTTTCAAAGCGTTATATGACAGAGTACAGTACTGGGAAGATGGGACACCGTGAATCTAGCTCTCATCCTGTAACTACACTTAACCCTTAAATGGCGCCTGGCTATTTAGCATGTCACTCACAGGCGCATACCAAAAAAAAAAAGAAAAAAATTATTTTTTCTTCTTAACCTGTTAATTTGTGTTCACTGATCATGGGAAAAATAATAAAAAAATCGTAAGTGGCATATATTGCCTGCTATAGGGAGGGGGAAGTCTGGCAAAAAACAGACGCTGACTCAGCGTGCATCCCAGACGGTTTGTTGCTCGCCAGCTGTCAAGCCGGAGTTGCAACAAAGAGATAATTACCTATTTATTTCAATGTCTCTGATTGATTTTTCGTAGTTTTTTTTGCTGTAATATTATTCAATAGTGTGTAGTGTGATATATTTATATAATAAAATGAGTGAATCATCGCTGTACTCAAAAATATGGTGTGCATATTGTTGATTCAATTATGTTCATCAAACAGTGAACAAATACTTTGTTGGTTATTACACTATATACACAGGTTATATATAAGTATCTGCATGTTTTATTCACCATAACGAACCACTAAGTTGCTATTATGAGTCAAAAAGTAACGAGGAGTGACCGCCGTGTACCAGCCAGCCACTCACGCCCTCCCTCAACACCTCACTCGCCCACATTCTCCTCCCACCATACTGTTTTT